ACACACACACACATACTTCTCACCTCTTTGAAGTAAAACAGTAATAATCTGAAGTCGGCCTGGCTTTCAACAATGAAGATTTACTGTTGGTCATTCATATTTAGAAAGTAGCTATCCTCTGCCTTTTACTGATGTTTGATGCTCCAAATGCCCAATTTCTGCACAGAAACTATGTCACAGGTCCTGAAAGCTCTGTTGTTTCTGAGGTTGGGGTGTTCCTGGGGGACAGCAGTACGGCAGCCATGTACATGTGGCACAGACTCACCCAGAACGCCAAGATGTTCCTCCTCAGGGCCTCTTTCCTTCTGTTTTGTGAAGGAGGCATCTGTATATTCACGATAAACCAACTTTTTATAAGACCCACCAATTCTTGTAGGACCTTGTTCAAAAAATACGGCCGAGTCACTGCCAAAAGCAAAAGGGATTGAGGCTGGTGTTGAGGTGGAACGGAAAGCGGGTATTCACCTAGGGTACTAGTTGAAGAGAAAAATTCTGGCCAGCACCTAGAGACAAGTTATCACCCATGGCTTAACGCTATATCCATACTAGTTGCTCAAGAAGACACAGACAGTTCTGGTTGCAGTTTGATGGATGCTCTGGGAAGGAGTAGAGATTCACAGAGGAGGATTCACTCTTCCACGGGGAGGGAAATATATTCAAGAGGGCCCATATCAATCCCTGACAGTTGATAGATTTTTCTTTTTGTGTGTGTGTGTGTGTGGTACCGGGGATCGAACTCGGGTCCTTGAGCTTGCGAGGCAGGCCACTGAGCTAAATCCCCGGCCCTAGTTGATAGATTTTCCTACAATAGGGCCCTTTCAACCATTTTCAGAATGTTTAAAACACAGTAGCTACTGTTGCGTTGTAGCACTGGCCAGGGGCTCAGGAGCTTTCTTATTTACTAAAATTCACATGGCAACACAATGAAATTGGTGTGATTTCTCCATCTACAAAAACCGAAATTCAGAAAAGTATTTGGCTTCCCAGAGTCACCCCACTCATGTCTGCTTTCCTTTGCCAGTGTGTTGAATGCTTGCCCTTTCTTAGCTGGGACCCCTGGGATGTGTGGATGTGACAACCACAGCAATCTGGATTCCTCCTCATCCGCATGGACCTTACTTACACCTGCCAGGGGACACGGACTATGAACCAATCAATGTGATGAAAAGGAATAAGCACAGCACGCGAGGGAGACACTCCTCCTGGGGGAAGACGTGACAGAGGCCTGCGCTGCAAAGGCTTTCCAGACGGAGAGGTGTTTAAAACTAAAGGAAAAGCAGAGTTTGAAGATACCAGAGCGGTTGCCATGGAGCATTACACAGAGGGAGCAGCCTGTGAGAAGGCTCAGAGGGGAGAGCGAACGTGGCACGCTCCAGAAAACGTGGCAGAAGCTTGGCATGCAGGGCTGGCAGAGGAGCGAATGAGGTGTGGAAAGAAGGGTGGGACAGCAGGGCTTAGCTGAGCTTCTGGTGCGCCGTTCCACGCCAGTAAATGAAAGATTTAAGCATTCTGGGTTCGTGTTTTAGGAGGACCCCTCCGACAGCTGTGTGGAGACTATTTCGGAAAATGCAAATCTGCAAGAGGAAGACCCATCAGGAGGCTGCGTTTGTAATTTGAGTGAAAGGTGCTGATGGCTTCAGAGGTACTGGCAAACAAGATAGAAGTGCACATCTTCAGAGGTATGTGAGATACAGGGAGGCCGTGCTTGATGAGGAGGGAAGAGGGGTTGGTGAAGGAAGGGGCAGTCAAGATCGGTGCTCAGGTTTCAGACTTGGGTATTCGGATGGATACACGAATAGATAGGTGATGCTGGAGAGGAAGAAACTCAGTTTTGCATGGGAGCAGTAGATGCAGACTGAGATATTACGAGTTGGACAGGCCTCAACCAAATGGAATCATCCCCTCCAAATTTGGGACACAAATCTGAAATTTACAAGACCCTTCTAGGTTAGATATACAACTGAAGGAGTAACACATCTGGATGTCACTGTAGCCTGAAGCTAAGTTTAAAGGCAGAGAACAGAGCAGATATTTATACATCAGTGTTCATAGCAGCATTAAGAGCCAAAAGGGGGAAGTAACCTAAATGTCCATTAACATATAAAGTACATACACAGATGAAGTATTGTTCAGTTTTAGAGAGGCATGAAATTCTCATATGTGCTACAGCATGAGTTGTAAAGAGGGAAACATATTTTTATTGGTCCATTTTTCATTAACTACTCTGTAATCCCTTATTCTTAGGCTTAGCTCTGTTGACTACTGGGTAAGCACACGCAGTCTGCACAGAGTCACTCCAGAGGTAAGAGTCTCCTCAAATCCTGGGAAGCCAACAGGCTAAAAATAACTAGAGAGACCTACAGAGGGAGGAAGGGATGGAAAGAAAAAGCAGGGGAGGAAAACAAGAAGTGTGGGGGAAATAGATTAACCAGATAGACTGTAAGCCCCAGATCCCAGGCCGTGAGGGGAGCCGGGTGGTCCTGTGAGCTAGGAATAAAAACACAGCTTCTCAACTGAGGGTTGCCTGTCTCTGTGCCACTCCTGCAAGAGCTCGGATTGAAAGCCTCACTTTTACTGCCGCTGGAGTCCAATTCCTTTGTTCTTTTTGTGGGGGGTGGGTGGACAAGTGAGAGCATGTCTTACAGGGTGAACCTTGAAAACATGCTAAGTGAAATAAACCACCCACAAAAGGACAAATACTGTATTATTACACTTGCATTAATTGTTTAAACGAGGCAAATTCATAAGGACAGAAAGTAGAACAGAGCTTATTAGGGGGTAGAGGATGGATAAAATGGTGGGTAATGAATAGAGTTTTTCCTTGGGGTGATGAAAACATTCTACAGGGCCAGGGATTTAGCTCAGTGGTTCAGCTGCCTGCCTTGCAAGTGCAAGGACCCGAGTTCGATCCCCGGTACCAAAACAAAAACAAAAACAAAAAACCGAAACATTCTACTTATGGATGATGATGATGATGATGATGATGATGGTTATACATTATTAATGTACTCACTGCTGCTAAACTGTATAAGGCTGTTTTCAGAAATGAAAACAAATGAATTGATTTCTAACTTTATTTCATGTGTTCTTAGGACTCTGTTAAGCATTTGATGATATTTGAACATATACTTTTTCATAGACTCACAAGTTATAGTTCTAAAGCTCAGACTATTATATGAAACACATTAATAAGTATTCAACAGTGTAGTATTCCATATCAGGTGCCAATTGAAATTTTAATTGCTGAATCAGACTTCTAAGTTTTTGTTTTGAGGGGAACATGTTTTGAAAGAATAGTCTTTTAGGAGAATTACCTTTCAGGAGCTGTTAAGTTTTCATTGGTGAAAATGTCCGTACCAGAGGGAGCATAGTTCCAGACTATTTCCTCAGCAGCGATGTAGTAGTGTCTAACATTTTCCCCCACGATATCATTCTCTGATGAAGACTTGTTACAGTTCTGAACCTGGAAAAAGGCCTGCAGACCAGCTGCAATGACACAGAAGGAGGCACTTGTTAAGGGAATCAGTGTTTCTCTTTCCTAATTGCCCTGTTAACACTGCTGATGAGATGGTGGGTGAAAACTGAAGAAACACATAGGGACAATAATAGAAAGTAGGGTAAACAGCTGAAAATAAAATACTAATGGGCAATTCAAGTTTTGAAAAGTATATAATGTTTTCATGTATATATATAGCCCAGAAAAGAGACTGTGAGCACACATGTTTTCAGCATGCGGTACCAGCTTCTGTGGGTTTTCACTCAGGAATTTCTTTTTTTAATGGTACCAAGGGGGACTGAACTAGGGACCTTACGCTTGCGAGGCAGGCTACAGAACCACTAAGCTAAATCCCCTGCCCAGGAGTCTTTTTGATGTGCGCAAAAGACAAGTTTACAGATAAATGAAGAGGACATATTTTTGATGTATTTTGACATATTTTAAGGTGCAGTGGGAGGTTGTGGAGGAGGAATAGCATGATTATTGTTCTCCTTTACAAAGAGTTGTGCACCTACTGTACTGAACCTCTGTGACCCAGGTCCTATTTGATAAATGCCATCACATCTTCAGGTCAAAGTCACATAGCAAAAGACCTGGGTTAAAACGAATTTGCTCAGGTGATCAGTATCACAAATATGTTTCAAGAACAAGGACTTTTTTTTAATAATCTTATTTCACATTATCTATCATACCTTTTAGTCTTTATTTACACTCTCAGTACCTCACACTAGAGAAACTATTCAGTATTTACACGTGTCCTATTTATATCACTCAAGAGTATGGCCTCAATGTGCATCCATTTAGCTATAAATATCCCTAATTTCTCATTTTTTATGGCTGAGTAGAATTCCATTTTATTAAATAAAACACACACATTTTCTTTACCCAGTCTCCTGTTGATGGGAACTTGGTCTGCTTCCAAGTTTTAGCTGCTACAAATTGTGCTGATACGAACATGGGTATACATATATCACTATTTTATAATCTTATATTAAGAAGGTGGAGGAAAAATGTATCATGTTAAGGCATGGCATAACCAGATATTAACAAAGAACAAAGATGGTCATAGCTGATTTGTACAATATTGTATATTTTACACAGCTAGGAAACTACATACAATGCTACACTTTCAGAGCAGGACCAATTATTGTTTTCTAGAAATGAAAACCTTTTAGATTTCATTACTTTATTAACATTTCAGTCTTTTTTCTTACACATACATCATGGGAATAAAACTAAGATACAAGTTTAGAGCTCAGATCATTCCAAGATATTTTACTTTGAAATTCTCATTCCAAATAATCACCATAGTAGTACAGCAACTATAACACAACTCTTTTTCAGCTGGCCCCTAAGTTTGGATAAAGGTGTCCTACCTTTCAAATGGTTTAGATTCTGACAGCTAAGCATCCATATTCCAGGGTTCTGGGCCACCATAAAAGCATCCACAAGGGTAGCGGGAAAGAGATTGATTGTATCAACACGGTAATTCTTGTTAGTCAGCGCTTGTCCATGAAAGAAAGCTGCATGCACGTCAACTTCATTACCCATGCCAAAAAGATACCACTTCACTCTGTCTTCTGCACACATGGAGAGCCCTGGCAGACTTCCAAAGGTGTATCCATTCACAGCTGTAAGGCAGAGATCGTGACCGATAAATACTACTGCCTGGGAGAGTGATGGTTACCTCTATAGAACCAGAATCAGTTTGAGGTGGAAAATACCCGGCACACACAGCTATTACTCTCTTCCATACCCATGTCAGTTATATCAGCCAGGAACTCTTTCATTTTGGAGCTGAATTCAGGCTGAGGATTCTTATCAGTCCATATCAGCCAATGAACACAACACTGGAGATGAAACCTATCTACTCTCCTTGCTATAAACTATACATATTGGTTATATGGATATGTGTTTGTAAATGCAGACATGTGTGTATACATGTACATAGACACAAGACATGAATACGTATAGGGCTGGAGATTTAGATCAGTGGTTCCACCACCTGCCTTGCAAGCGCGAGGTCCTGAGTTCAATTTCCAATACCAAAAACCAAACAAACAAGCACCCATGAATACATACAGAGAAAAGATTGTTTTAGTAATTAGTTCATTGTTATTCACATTACTAGGGTAGTACAGATGATTTACATTTCTTCTTTTTGCTTCTCTAAGATTGGAAGACAAGCAAGAACCTGAGTTCAGTCTCCAGCACCAAAACCAAAAAAGATTGGAAGACAAAATTGGAAGATACCTTAAGGAAGAAAAGCAGAAATGCAGAGAAAGGACAGCAAGGACCAAGGACAAGAACCACGGAAACCTAAAAGTCAAGAAGCAGAATGACCAATGACCCTTGGAAGGACATTAGAGTCACTGTTCAGACTAAGTGGGCCAAGAAATTTCCCGGGTGGGAATCATTTCTGGGCAGGACTGTGAGTGCACAGATGTGACCTTTGTGCCAAAACAAGCCTACTCAGACCAGAAGTTTTTATCTAGCCTCTATTTCTGTTAGCGCGTAACACAAACGGGATGGAAAGCACATCTCTGGGCAGATATAAGCAATAACCGGAAACAAAAAACATGTAGTTTGTTAATTAGGTTTTCCACTTTGGTAGTGTAGTTATTTTTGTTTTCTCAGTTTCTGAGTAACAAATACTTATTTATTTTTCTTTATTTGTTTCTTTCTTTATTTTGCAGTCCTGGAAATCGCACCCAGGACCTTGTGCATTCTCAGCAACTGCTCCATGCCTGAGCTACCTCACCAGCCCTTTCTAAAATTTTATTTTGAGATAGAGTCTAATTACATTGCAAGGCCAGCCTTGAACTTGTGATCCTCCTGTCTACACCTGAGTAGCTGAGATTACAGGTGTGTGTCATCATACCCAGCATTAAAGATTGTTTTGAGGAATTTAAACACAAACATAAGCCATACTTACTGGTTTACTTAGTTTTGAAGGATTCTACTCCTCTTACAAATTCTGAGAGATAGGTAAATTTGCTAAGTTCATTATTTTGTGTCTCAGAATTAAGAAAAAAAAATCTAGTCTAGCAAAAAGATATATCTAGAAGATATAAAGTGAAGTAAAATATAAAAAAGAATGCTGGTGAAGGCAATGTGCTGCTAAAAGGGATACCTTTCAGAACTAGTGGCTTAGAACAGTTTTCTTAAATATAGTTAGATATTTTACAATATAAATTTAAGCATTTAGTTGAATAATCTTAATTGGTTGGCTCAAATAATTGCTCAAATGAATTTGGAGGATAAATATTTAAATGTAGCCTTCACATGCATTTCACTGTGGGTGATGATATTTTAGCTGATTAGTTTGGGAACAAGTTTGTTGTGTACCTTTACCTGACGTAGTGTTTGGTTTTGACCTGTTTGGACAGATATCAAATTACATGTCTACTATGCTTTATCAGGACCTAGTTTGTAAAGGATTAAACACAGAAGAATTAATTTTTAAAATTAGTGTTAACGATGCAGGATATGGTGGTGCAGGCCTATAATCCCAGCATTCGGGAGGCTGAGGCAGAAGGATCGCTGTGAGTTTGAGACCAGCCTGGGCTACATAGTGAGTTCCAGGGCAGTCTCAACTACATAGTGAGACCCTGTCTCAAAAAACAAAACAAAACAAAACAAAAAACCCAAAAATTAGAGTAACGCATTTTCTGTAATCTTACAGTACATTCTGTTACTCTCCTGGAAGTCTTCGCTGTCTTTGTCAACTTTCTCTGGTTCCGAGCAGTAGGTTTCAATATTGTCTTCCAGGTACCAGCTGAGATTTTCATCCACCACCGAAAACATTACCACAAATTCTTGGTCAACGTTTCTTTCTTTTTCCTTATCTAGAGAATCTGAAGTAAAAATATCTAGTTTAGTAAATCTAAATTTTTAAGTGTGTGTGTTGACTTTTCAGGTGATTTATTTTGAAATTATGATGAAAACACTTTTAATTAATTAAAATTTTAAAATTAAATTAAAAATTCTTCAGTATTTAGTTTTCTAATAAGCCATAAATCTGGACTAATCCCTCCTGTTTTATAGACATGCAAACACAGGGAATTTGATGCTCTGGGTCCTGTACTCGGGAGACACTTCTAAATCAGCATATTCGTAGACTACATAACTATTAAGTTCTTCTTGGAAAATGAATAGGTTGGTTTTCAAAGCTATGCCCATGTTTTCTAGCACATATAGCCACAAACTTAGACCCAACAAATCTTTAAAAGTAACTATTAGTAATTCAAGTAAACATTTGAATTTCAGGCTCTTGAGCTACATTGCCTTTTTTGTAATGGGACCAATAAATCCTATGAGACCATGTTTACCAGTGTAATACAGATAATTCAGCTCTATCACCATGTGGGGCCATTTATGGAATTTTCATATGTGGTAAAGTCATCTGTCTCTTCAGTACCACAGTGGGAAGTTAAATACCGAAGATCTATGCTCCAAAAGACCTTACCTCTGAAAGCTTAGCTTCCTTTCCCATACAAAGGTCTATTTCACTTATCCCTCCAGCTCCTACTCATCCCTGCTCTTGCCTTCATTTTTTTTCTAGATTCATCTTCTCTATCCCTTACTCAATGTCAACACAAAAGAATTTGACATATTTTTAAAACAAACTACCCTGCCTTGTAGGGACATTGAGTAATGCGAGCAATAGTAAGAAAAATGTACCTTTTTTACAGATTATGAAGGGTCCAATGAGTCCTGAAGCAATATCTTTTGGAGCATCAATATGGGAATGGTAAATCCGAGTCACACAATTGTTGTCTCCCTCACCAGGGCTCTGTTCTTCGTTGGCATCCAATATATACGTATACCGCTCTCCCGGGAGTACTTTGTCATCTGCTTTGTGAAAGTCCGTGGTGTTATCGGGATAGATGGCCCCTGGAGAGAGGGTGCAACGGAATCATGAAGTGAATGTTTTTGAACTTAACAGTCCTTCAATTCTTGTAGCAAACGTTCAACACTTAATAGAAGCCCCTTGGAGATGCAGCGACGTCCTATTGGAACACAGAGAAATCCGAGGCTAAGAATTAGAGATGTAGACGCTTTATGGATTTTTATTATTTTTGATACTAGATTGAGTCTTCAGGGAGCAAGAATAGATACTTCTGGGGGATCGTGAATATTGGTTTGCAATTTAAAGGACAACTTGTGCCTTGGGGCCACCATGGTATAAAAGGCCAAGAAAAAGGACTTCCCTTTCTTATAATTGGCAACTTCTTATATAATATCAGATTTTGCCTGTGAAGTGACCATTGAAATTCAAAATTTTTTACTGTGAATTTTGGAAATTGTGAAACACAGAAGTTGGTATGAACCTCCATGTTTTTCCAAATCGGTTAAACTTTCCATGTTCCATTCAAACTCAGTTTAATCATGATAAACTCACAGCCAATCTTGTTTCCTCCATAACCTCCCACACTCTTATCTCCAGCAGTGTTAAATGATTTTAAAGCAAATTCCAGAAATGGTATTACATTCATAAATATCTGAGTATGATTTTCTACAAAAATGAGAGCACTTTTGCCTTTGATTTGTTTTAAGAAAGACGCAAAAGCCCAGTATGGTGGCACAGGTTTGTCGTCGAAGCGTCTGGGAGACTCGGCAACTTAGTGAGACTCCGTCTCAAAACTGAAGAGTAAAAATGAGCTGGGTGCATAGCCCAGCGTAAACGCCCCGGGTTCAATCTCCAGTACAAAAAAGGAGCGGGATGAGGAGGAGTAAGAAGGGGAGGAAGGGGAAGAACAGAGGGGGAGGAGCAGGAAAAGGAGAGGGAGGAAGAGCGGAGGACAAGGCCACTGTTATACTTTGAAAATGAATGCCAGTTTTCTAATGTGACGTGACATAGCGAAAGGGAAAAAGAGGCGACAACTACTCATCTGTGCTATTAATGTAGTTGTTTTGTGTAGAAAAACAAACAGAAAAAAGATAATGTAAACATTTACCTCCTAAAACAATTCCTTTTATAAGAAAACTAATAATCAGTCTAGTTTTGTGTTAATTTTCAGAACTGACCTTATAATTTCAGAGAACTGTATCATGACTTTGATTTTTCTTATGACCATAGTTTACGTTTATTAAGCTATTATTATGTACTTTTATTGCTCCGATTTTATAGACAAAAAAAAAAATAACCGCTAAAGCATAATTTAGGTATCTTGGTAAAATCTTCCCTCTGCGTTAAAAGGCGAAGCTGAGTGTGGCTATTAACTGTGGGATGTTCCTTTGGCAGGAGTGGGAAATGCCTAGCCGATTACTAAAGCACAGTGCTAGGTATGTCCCTGCACAGCTGACATGGAGACCAGCAAACAGAGGTAAGAGCCACTCCAGTTGATAGGTTTGTAACCTGGATAGTATTAAAAGGGAAGGAAGTGTGCCCATTTTGAAGATGTCCAGTCTTCTGGAGCAAGTGCAGCTTTCACACTGTCACCTCTGCTTATCGGTCTCCTGATCTCGTTTCTTCAGCCGTTCCGTGCAGACTTGCACCGGTGACTCTCTAGTGAGCTCTCAGGCCTTCTACTTTGGATTGGTGCCATATCCTTGGTCCCTCTCCTTCTTCTGCTTGTTTGGCTGAGAGATGCTGGATCTCCTATCTCTCTCGCACATAAATGGCTGTTGTGGATTTTCCCACCTCTGATCCTGTAAGCTTACCTAATAAATTCCTTTGCATAATTATATGTATGTTTACTATTGATTCTTTTCTTCTAGAGAACCCTAACTGATACACTGAGACTCAACCTTGGCCTATTAATTCAAAATCCTCATGCTTACCTATAACAAAAATCATCTCTTGATATCATCATCAAGCACAAGTGTCACCAATCCAAAAATCTGAAACCAAACCACTCCAAAATCCAAAATTATTTGAGAATCAACATGAACACTCATTTCATGCACAAAATTATTGAATATACATATTTAGATCACCTTCAGCCTATGTGTATAAGGTGTATATGAAACATAAATTGTGTGTTTGCACTTGGGTCCTATTGACAAGATATCTCATTATGTATACGCAAACAGTCTAAAAATCTGAAGAAAAAGAAAAACCTTGAAGTTTAAAACACTTCTTGTCCCAAACATTTGGAATAAAAGACACTCAGCCTATACCATGAATAAGATCACAGGCATCAGATCTCACCTTTGTCTGTCCTTTTTTTATTGCATATTTTGAGACAGGGTCTCACTCAGTCACTAAGTTGCCCAGGCTTGCCTTGAACTTGTGAGCCTCCTAGATCCTGGGATTACAGGAATGTGCCACCGTGCCCAGCACAGTAACACGTGCCCAGACTTAGTAACTGCTAAATCTGATATTCAAGCAACTCTTCAGTTAATTGTGTCTCAGATGTGACTTGGGAACCATCTAGCCACATATAATATTTGGCTAACGTATGAGATGACTTGTTCTATCTAAACTATCCAAAATTAGGATGGAAAGTGACAGCAGCAACGACAAAAACACGTGTAGGAATTTCAAGGATAAGACATGTCCATTCTGAGTCCTTTCTTTTCTCTATGGAGTTTTGCCTACTGTAGGCTAAAATGCATAGTCTATTTTCTCTTATTCTGATTTATATTTCTTCTTTATCTTATTCTTATTTATATTTCTTATTTGGCTGGAAAGAAATTAGACCCTGGAAGAGACCACATCTTTCACTGACTTTCACTGTGTGAGTCCACCCAGAAATCTATGACATTCACACTTTACACAAACTTGCACAACCAGGAGAAACACATTATAAAGATGAACCAAAGTACTTTTTGATGAAATGCTGTAGAGCTAAATGACATAGGTACAGGTCTTGTCTAAAAGGAGAATGTCATGGATTAGACCTACACTGTCCTTCAAAGGTTTTATGCAGTCAGAGGAGGGGTTTGGGGAAGGTGATCGGATCATGGAAGAACTACACTCATCAGTGGATGAATCTGTTGAGTTCATAGCTGGATGTGCTGTTGGGAGGCAGGGCCTGTAGGAAGAGGCTGGTCACTGGGGGTGTGACCTGGAAGGCCATATTCTTGTCCCCAGGTTCTCCTTTTCTTTCTGCTCTCTGGTCACCTTGGGGTAAGCAGTCCTCTCCCACCAGGCCCTTCCACCATGTGGTTTCCTGCCTTGAAGTCAGCTGACCATGGACAAAACCCACTGAAACCATGAGCCAAAGTAAACCGCACCTCCTTTAAGTTGTGGGTGTCAGGTATTACGTCCCAGCAACAAGAAAGTGACGAATACTAATATTTGGTTACTCAAAAGTAAGAGGAAATTCCAACTCCAGCACATGCTGAACTTACCTTCATGCTCCTTATAGTAGGTTATTCCATGTGCATGAAAAGTGTAGGGCCTAGAGGCAAAGTTCTTAAAATGTATATAAACCTTATCTCCAGTTTCAGCTTTTATAATAGGGCCTAAAAACCCTAGCCAATCTGGTTTTTCTATAGTTGCACTAAAGGTTCCATCTGTGTACTGATGATAGAGGGCTTTCTTGTATGTTCTTCCAATTCTGTCTGGACCATTTTGAAGATAGATATCATACTGCTCCCTGAAAAAGAAAAAAAAAGAGACAACTTTATCAGAAGCCATCATTTCTGGAAATTATATTATGACTAAAAAATATTAATAACCATATCACATTAAATGTTTTCCTACTGTAGGGAGGCCTCCAAAACTGGAATGGAATGCTGGAACTTACTTTAATTCTTTTATTTATGTGAGATGTTTCATATGAGGCATATGGCAGAGAACTATCTGAAGCCATCAGAAAAATGTGGTACCTATTACTGGGTAAATTTCTCAAGATTTTCTTATAAAATAAAGGCATTCTGGAATAATGTAGAGTAAAAATTAAAGTGAAATATTATAATAAAGCAGTTAAAGTTTTTTTCACTATGGGATAGCCTTAGCTACAGGACAAACCTGTGATTATAAGGAATCATTGTGAATATTTGACATCAAAGTTTGTTTGTAATATATGCGTACGCATTTTTTCTGTAAAATTTAGTAACAGTTTATTATTCTATCATTTTTATTTCTTTTAATATGTTTAAATGAACATCAGAATTGATGCATGCAATATGAATGGGTTTTTAAATTATCTTTGTATTTAAACTATCTCTGTTTTTTGTTTTTCCTTTTAACTCTGCACTACAGCTAATAGTTGACATTGAAAGTGTATGATGTGAGTAGTGTCAGTTAGTAGTTGCTTAAAAGTTTCCTAAATATATAAGCCTAGTAAATAGTAACAAGGAGAAAAAAAGATAAGAAAAGAACAAAAATGAACTTGGTATTTGAAGTTAAACAGATCTTTAAATTACTGACTTTTACTGATAGCTCTAGATAACTCAGTGGTTCCTATCAGTGAGCAATGTGTTGTCATTTAGAAAGATGCACTTAAATCCTGGGTTTCAGGTAGCCTCTCTGAAACCAAAGTCTCTTCTACTTGAAGAAAAACTGCTTGCACTTGGGATGATCTTGAATGTGTGTGTGTGTGTGTGTGTGTGTGTGTGTGTTCTTGTTTTTGTCTCACCAATTTTGACACCTTATCGTTGTGGGGCCAAGAGGCAGGATAACAGGCTTGAAAAATAAACTTCATCATGTTTCCTTGGCTATAAGCTCATCAGAAATAGTGAAATATAGTTTTGTTTCCATTCCTCAATACAAGAGCAGAGCTTGTCCAGGAGCTCTTCCTTTTCACTGCCAGAGTTTAAAGACCTTGTTTTCCAAATGTCTAGATGTCTACCCTAATGTTTCTTAAGTTTCAATGTACATGATTGTCTACCAAGGCAGCAGGTGAAATGCAAGTCCTGGAGTGCACCTCCTTGATTCTAATTGCATGTGTTGGTTCAGGCGATTTGTGCAGGGAATGTCGTAGCTCAGTGGAGCCATGCCTGTCTTGCAAATGCAAGGTCCTGAGTTTGATCCCCAGCACCAGAAAACAAAGCAAAACAAAAATATACCTGTCTGGGTCAGGCAGGCTTCTCTGAGCTCATGGGTAACCTGAGTGGGGAAGCTTTCAAGACTGAAAGTGAAGACAACAGTCCAGATCCCAGAGGTGGTGAAACTCTTGATTCCATGAGACAGAAAGGTGGAAGGTTCTGTTTCTAGGCCATATCCTAATAATGGCCTGATCTCTGCTGGTGGTAGCTGCACAGATTAAACCCCTGTGGTCAGGGTACATGGTTGCTTAGCAGTAGTCCTGGAGCTGAGTTTGAGCAGGGAAAACAGGTATGCTTAATAACAGAGTCATATTTCTCTGAATGCATATTGATCAATTGATTAAAGGGCTCTCTATGATGAGTGTCCCATAGTTACCACCATACATGAACAAGTTCAATTTTCCAGTGTTATATTTTGTATCTAGATGTTCCCCCCAAGGCTTCATGTGTTCAGAGATGGGGCTTTTCGGAGATGGCTAGATCTAAGGTGTATGAATATGGATTAAGGGTGTGTGATAAACAAACTGGTTTAGCGTAGTTCTGGTTATGGATAGTGGAGGTCCCACCTTGGTTGTGGGGGACACAAACCAATAGATTTGTAGCCTGAATGGAATAGAAAGCAACAGAAAAGAAGGCAGCCTTGCTGCTTGCTGCTTTCTGCCTACCTTGCTTTGCCATGAACTGTTTCTCCTCTACAATGGCCATCTGCCATGCTGCTTTACTTCATAGCCAGTGGACTATAGACTTAAACCTCTACAAACTGTGAGCTGCAAAACACTTTTCCTCCTTTGACTTGCAGGTGTTAGCTATTTTGTACCAGCAACAAGAAAAGTAGCTAAGACATCCAGAATTGTACAACCACCAGGATTCCCAAAGCAGGCAAATTATTCACTAAAAAATGACCGAGATAATGTTCCCTTGCCCCCAACAAACTTACGTGAGGAGAAGCCCAAGCTGGAAGTTAGAAAAATGAAGTGATATTCAAAGTAAAGCAGCAAAATCATAGGTGTGTTTCCTTTCTCCTATTTGTTTTTGCCTTCTTACTGTTGGCTACAGTTTCCCAGTATGTTAGAGCAAATTCTGCCACCACCACCCCAAAATTAAGGATGGTTCAGTGAGACTGCAGGACACGGGAATGCACAGAAAAAGCAATACCCAGGCATGAACTCAACCCCAAGCCCACAGAATTAATGTGGGCAGGAGGTGTTTTAATACATATAATTCTTTAACAACAGCAAAACAGCAAGGCACCAAAGAACATTGAATTGAAAGTACAGATTCATCTAGTCCATTCTGCTGACACAGGTCAACAGAACTATAATTTCTTTTCTATTTTTTGGTACCAGGGTTGAACTCAGGACCTTGGGCTTGCAAGGCACAGGCGGTGCTACTGAGCTAAATCCCCAACCAAGACTGTAATTTCAATCAGATACATAGCTGCAGCTGCAAAGTCTACACAGAAGAACTCCATACTGGCCCCTCCAGAAGAATCAATACATTTCATATGGGCATGTTTAAGCCCCTGAGTAAAGTTTCTTCAGTGTCTGGACAACCTCCTGTTTCTAGGAGAGTACTCGGACAATATTATTTATTTATTTATTGGTAGCAGGGATTGAACTCAGGTCCTTGCGCTTGCGAGGCAGGTGGTGGAACCACTGAGCTAAATCCTGGGCCCTTGACAATATTTAATAGACACTTTGTGCTCTATCATGACCTGTTAATTCACATCTTACATAGGTTATAGTTTCAAAATAACCCTCACCTTCTTAAGGCTTTATTTAAATAGTTTGAATTTTTCTGAATTTCTAAATGTGACTCTATAGCACTTAGGAAATCATTGCATCACATTTCAATATACTATGGAATGCTTTGTCAAAATGCTTTTATGCATTAATTATTTTCTGAATTAGTCATTTCCTAAACCAGGCATGATAGCATACACCTGTAATCCCAGCACTCAAGAGGCTGAGGCAGAAGGATCACAAGTTTAAGACCAGCCTAGGCTACATAGTGAATTCAAGACCAGTCTGAACTACAAAGTGAGACCCTGTCTCAAAACATGCATACATACATACATACATATTTTCTAAAATAGGAGGAGAAATTGCCTAAGCTTTTTCACTCATTTTTTTTCAAACCGAGTATGACTATTTATTTACTAGTATATGTTTGCAGTACTTAATGATAACATTTCTTGTGATTGGTAAATGTACATAACACATCTTAACTCTTTTCACATCCCTTACCTTCTACCCTATCAGCCTCTTCCACTCAAATTATACAAAGACTTTTTTAAGGTGGAAAGATGTGTAAAAATTACTTTTAAAGTAATTGAGTTGAATTCCAATACAGTATAGACAAAATGCTTAATATTTGGAATTCCTTTTTTATGGACTGCAGTATGAAAACTGGCTTTTCCAACTTGCCTTTTACTGTGAAAAATTCCCTTTCACCGACTTTGGAAATATTTCACATCATGTGGTTTCTTGGGGGAGGTCTATTTGCTTATGATCTGTCTCCAAAACAACATCAGAAGGTCATCGGGGAATGTCTATTTAATTTCAAGAGCACAGCTTGAGGACAAAGGGTCAGTTACTGGAAGCTTGCAGGAAGTTCGCCAGTCAGCTATTCAGCCACAAGAATCTATTATAATTGGTCTTTGAACCAAACAAATAATTCATGTTAAATTGCAGTTTCTCCTGTTGAAAACTGTAATATGCTTCTTTCTACTCATTATAATAGATATGTTTCCCTCCCAGTAACAAAATTTTCTATTTTTGGTATCCCCCCCAAAATAAAAAGCTAACTGGGCTGGGGATTTAGCTCAAAGGTTACACTGCCTGCCTCACAAGTGCAAGGACCCAAGTTCAATCCCTGGTACCAAAATAAATAAGTAAATACATAAATAATAAAAAGCTAACTCCCATAATTTATGGTAGACTGAGACCCAGAAGTAAGTTTTTAAAGATAGGAGATCTTTCTATATGCTTTAGTAAGATAATAATAATACTATTCCTCTCATGAATTCAGAATTTACTCAAATGGTCTCTGTTTATGTTTATACATAGTTATGAAAAACATGAGTACTATAGCTGAAAAGTTTCTGGATGTTTGGCTTCATTAATTGAGAAATAATGTGTTAGACTTTAATTGCTGCATGACACAATCACACAGCACCTTGAACTAATGCCCATTTTAACCTCACAGTTCTATGATTTTATTATTCTGATGCCTAATGACTGCATTCTCACCAAGACATAACAAAGCTGAAATCAAGGGATTGCTTGGCTCAGCATTTGTCTGAGGCCTTATGGGAAAAACCACTTCTTCGACCATTCTGGCTATGGGGAGAATTCAGTTTACTGATGTTGTAAGATTGAAATTCCTGTTCGCTTGTGCCTGGCTTCTCTCTCCATTCCTTACCTACCTGAATGCTTCCCAAGTGTCCTGTTCCACCATCCCATCAGCAACAGCGTGTGAAATCCTACTCACATCTTTTTGAATCTTCGACTTTCTCTTCTGCCACTAGAGGACCCTACTTTTAGATGAGGACACTCAGACAGTATCGCTAAGGTCAGCTGTGCCACTAACTAAAAGAAACCATGGGGTGCTAGCTCATCCTACTCAGGTTCTGCAGACTCAGAACAACACATCTTTTGGGGACTGCCTGCTATACACAGCAGTCAGAAGGAAATAGGAACTTGGCAGAGATTCAATCTGGGGTACATAGCACCAACTTACATGAAATATATATATAAAACAAGGCTTGCTTCACCAGTGCAACACGAATGCGATACCTGATGATCAATCTTTCATTTTCACTATTCTCAGGCGAAATAGAAACTATGATAATAAATTGTAGAGCTTGAAAAGTATGAAATATTGTAGTCATCTAATTACTTCCTTAATACAGGCTATCATCTTGTATGAAGCATTTGTACCATAACAGCTACTGCTTACTGATTTGTATTCAGCAACTTTAGAGAATGAGTCACTGTAAGTGAGTTTTCTAGATAATTTAACCTAAAAAATATACTTCTTTAAGAATCATTTAAAATTTTTAAAATTAACTTGGGGGGGACTGTTAAAAATCATTACTTGGGAAGCCATCAGACTTACATCCCTCTAATGCCTTGGGTTCTAATCTAGGTAAACCAAGAAACAATTTAATATAAACAATTAAATGAAATTTAAACTTAAATAATCAGAAACCATAAGCAAAGCAAGCCTCTAACTGGAGGCTTTACCAACCAGAGACTCTAAGGATCTTACACTTTAATCAGATACGTTTTCTTAATCTTGCTTCCTGAAACACCTCATAAAATTCCCTTCTCTAGCGCTTCCCCACCCTTAGGTGAACTCCCTGTGACTGCTGCACCCAGATTCACAAATTACTGAATGCTGAAAAAGACCTTAAAAATTTAGTGTGCCTAAGTTTTCCTTTTAATAGGGATAAAATAAATGCCTTCAGTGCAAGGTTTTTCTCTAAAATACTTTCTATGTGAACCTGTTTTCTTAAACAGGATATAATAGAAGGTCACCTTTCTGTTCATAACAGTAGTGAAGATGTGTTTACTGGGCACATTGCATTCTGATCACCCAAGATCACATTTATTTATCGTTGTATTGGACGTTGGTGTGGCCTTAGTTAGTTGTCTGTTTCCCTGGTCAAGATTTGGCTATTTTGCTTCTCTGCCTTTGGGTCTACTCATAATGACTCCCTCATTGTATCATTTGATTTTCAAATCTACAATGGGCTGGAAAACTAGGTGACAAAATTTGTAAAACCTGTGCAATTAAGAAATTCACCAAGCCTGAGTGAGAGCCTACAAAGTCAAGTATAAAAGGGTTTGATAATCTGTTCTTGGGGTTAAAAACATTTTCACCAGCTTCCTAGAGGTCATTGGGGAAAAAAGTAACCTAAAGATAATAGTATTATTCTTGCTATTATATAATCAAGTTAATACATATTTAACTGATGCCTACTATGGGCCAAGAACACCCTGTTGTATTTTACTAATTTTTATGTAGGTAGTCTTAATTTTTGTTATGTATTACAGAACTATTATAAGTAAATTATAAATAAGAACTATTATAAATAAATTACTTTTCATCTACCCCACTAGAAGGAAATAATATTGGCATTAATAACAAAAAGGTAAACTCTATTTTCTTAGCCAACAAAGTAAAAATAAACATAAGCCTTTATTTTTTTGAGTTCAGATATTCACAAATATTAATTTAGTGTCTCCTATGTTCAAGGTACTAGTGATCAAGCGGTGGTCATAAGAGATAGAGTTCCTGCCATTTCAATATATATTTTCCTATATGCAGTCAGGAAAATTCTAACCCAAAGATGACTAGGGGTAAAGACAACTAGTACATCTTGTAACTGTTATTTTTTGAAACCTCCAGAACTTCAAGGTCAACACCCAACTTAAACCCCGTTCTCTACATAACACTCATCTTGCACTTATTCACATCTTATTCTTCATATTGTTTATTTCTACTTCTTTTTAGCCATCACATGAGAAAGAGAGCCAACTCTTTGCTACCATACTCATCCATGCAAAAGGTTTAATAAAATATTGACAAAACTGTAAAGCTGTGGTCACCGCTCAGGTGTACGGGGAAAAGAAGCACAGACCATGTGACCAATCCTACCCAGGTTCTGCCCTAGGGCTGCTACTGAAGCCACAGAAGATTGTGCCTCAGTGACAGAAAGAAAGCGGAACTTCAACTGGAAAACGCACCCATTGGCTTTCCTTAAGTATCCCTACTAAGTAACAATGGTATAAATAAGTTTATACTCACTTAGAGCCTCCCTGGAAGAGGCAAGCCACGAGAGTATTTGAAAATAAATGAATCCCACCCCCACCATAATCTTACCAATCTCCTTCACTCTTCTGCTCCCTACTTTCTAGAATTAGAGCCTGCTTTACTGGAATATAGTTGGGGAACTGGCTTACACTTAGATTATGCCCATTAAACTAATTTAATTCTTGATCGTGAAGAATGGCAGGTGGATAATGGTGGCATGGAGTAGGACAACACATTTATTTATGTATTCATTTAATGCAATAATAGGGATCAAACTCAGGACCATGCACATGCTTGACAAGTGCTCTACCACTAAGCTATACTCTGAGCGAGGCTAGCACTTTTACTTTTTTGTTTGTTTGTTTGTTTGTTTGTTTGGTTTTTTCACTGTTCAGTGAAACTGACTTGGAACTCACTGTGTAGCCCAGGCTGGTCTCAAATTCACAGTGATCCTCCTGCCTCAGCCTCCTGAGTGCTAGATTACAGGCGTGCGCCACTACGCCCAGCCAGCATTTTTACTTTTTAATATGTTTGACTTCTTCCTTAGAAATAAAAATGTATTTAACCAGGATAACACTGAATCCATACAAAATAATGTTTCTAGTGATGCTGTGAAAATATGGCATACTCCTAAGAAGAGAATAATATTGTTAAAACAGGTCTCCAAAAATAACAGTTACAAGATGTACTAGTTGTCTTTACACCCAGTCATCTTTGTGTTAGAATTTTCCTTACTGCATATTACTAACTTAATAACATAGCAATTGGATATCATTGTCAGATATGCATTTAGTTTTTGCATGAAAAACTTCAACCATATATAAAGTTAAACAGAATGGCATATACTCCTCAATAAGAGTCAATAGTTATGATATTTGGCATGTTTATTTAATTATGTTTCAAAGATACAGTCACAGCAGCTGCTGCTCAGTGGGATTGTTTGTATTTAATCACCATGAAAATGCATTTGTTAATATAATGAATGTTGGCTTTAAATGCATAATTTCCCTTTGGTGGTCACTATTTCATTAACATTATTAAAAATGATGGCCTCAATATAAAGTTCCATGATAAAAACTTCAAAGGATACCTGTATATTTTGATTTATTATAGATAGTGAATATTGCTTGACACAAAGGGACTTTCAAACCAAACATGAAAGCATACATTTCAACTACATAGTGTTTTCTGAGGGCCACAAAAATAAGTATCTAACACTTTTTGGTGCATATATATGATTGCTTAGTTCAGTTCCATGCTGAGTTTTTCATGCATTCCCTCTTCAAACAACCCTATGAGATGTGATTCTTCTCCCCTGTACAGAGGGGGACTCTGACGCGCTGAAAGATGAATTCCATTCATTCACTGTGCAAGGTGACCCGACAAGTATTAGTTTGTTAAAGTTGTATTTTATTTCTATCAATGATATTTAAAAGGATTTAAAAAATTTCATCCTCACCTTTAATAAGCAGCATATGGTTAATATAAATATAAATATAACAGTCTATATGGTTTTTATTTAAATTAAAAATCTGCATCATCAGACAAAAGGAATGCTGATGGGAGATGCCGTAGTGACCGGCCAGCCAGCACTGTCCCCCAAGACCAACAGGAAAGGATTAAGTTCGCTGTCTGGGATTTAGAATATAGAGGAGACTGATTAAAGTATCCTGGGCTTCAAGCCTATGCTTTGCCATTCCTGTGTATAACAAATCAAAGAAATATTCCATCTTACTGGCTTTATGTTTAAATTCATAATTTGTAGATTTCAGTCCATAAACAATAAAAATAGTGACTTACTTGTCAGCTGAGATAAGTGTCTTTTCCTCATTGTCAGAGGCATAGTTCCAAGTTGTCTCATTAATTCCAATGTAATAATGCTTATCTTTTGCCCAGGCTGGAGCACTATATAAAAACAGAAAAATGCCAAGCACAGAAAGCTTCATTTTCTTCCTCTCTTGGAGCCCGAGAAGCAATGAAGTAAAATCAGAAGCAGGCAATTTTATAAATAAGGCTTTCTTCCTTTATTTGCTTGATTGACACAATTTAAAGTTGCGCAAGAGTAAATTGTATCGTTAAAGCAAATAACATTTTCCAATTCAGTCAGTTTCTCATAACCCAGGGAGAGAAATAGAACTGTCTTTGGTAGCCAGGCTTCTCTGACTACAAATGAAAAGTCAACAGCTATTGTTGGACGCTAGAGTATGCAAAACTCTGTGCCCTCTTCCTTTCACTGTGGAAATTCCAGGAGGCTGAAGATCATCTCTAAATGTCCCCTTTGTTCCTCCAACAATAGGATGCAGTACAGTGTCCTGCATGTGGCAATCTTTTAATAAACCAGGCCAAAGATTATGTAAAATAGGTTAAAATGTGCAGTTCTGTGTTGTTTCTAAAAGCCTAACAAACACTTGTAACCTTAAGATCTGAAACATGATACTTAGCATGCCAAACCTTAGTAATTTAAACAAAAGAATTCTATTTTGAAGGAGTTGTTGACTCTAAACTTTAAGCACATCAGCACACAAACTTTGTCAGGGATTCTGTACTGCTCTATGGTGATTTCTAGTGGAGCATAGCAGTGGCTGACAATTTTGTTTCAATCATCAAAGAAATCAGCCATACTGGGGTTAGCGGGGTGCACCTGTTTTCAAAGCTACTCCAGAGACTGTCACCGGGAGTTTGAGGCCATCCTAGATAACACAATGACACCCCCCCCTTACAAAAGAAAAATAAAATGAACCTATCATCAGGCAAAACATGATCTCAGTAAATAGAAAGTACCCTCGTTTATTACCCGGGAATTTTTCTTCGAAGTGTGTATTTTAGAGCGGAAGACTTTTAATTAAAACTGTAATTGAAATGTATTGAGGTGTATAAAGTGATTTTTTAAGCTGAAGAAAATCTTGATGAAGACAAATGATATTCTGTGTTAATATATTTTTCTGGGATAACATAAAGCATCTATAAGTATTTGCCAATGGCTGTTGAAATAGGTTGGTATGGGCGAAAGAACTCGATGTTTGGAAAGTCATTCGTTTAAGGAGTATCATAACAAATATTACAGCCCATCTCTGTCATCAACACAGTATATGAAGCAGTCAGTAAAACACTCAAAGTGTTCTCCTGGAGTTTGTATTCCACTTGGGAGCAAGTGACAAAATACAAATGAAAAATGGAATACACAGTATCAGGGGTAAGAGCTATGGAGAAAATAAACCACAGAAGGGGAATAGTGAATGCTACAAAAATAGCCAGATAAAGATCAGAATCTGATGTTCTCAAGATTTAGTTTTCTCATTTGTAAAATGTGAGCCTCACAAAAGAGTAACTTAGGGACACACATTATGGCACCAGAGGAAGAGCTCCTTTCGCCATCTAGTAATAATCATCTCTATTGTGGGGGTGCTGGGATTGAATGCAGGGCTTTGGAAATGCCGGGGAAGCTCTCTGCCACTGAACTGTACCCCAGGCCTAGCTGGTAACATCTTCACTAAATGGCCTGATGCAGAAAACTGAGTCACAGCATCTCATGCCCAAGCCTTCTTCTGGAACTGCCTTGAACAACTCTGCTGTTTTGACCACTAAAGAGGACCAGAGTGGGGCTCATGTCCAGACTCTTCTGACCAAGCCCTGTGCCTGGCAGGAGCTACAAAGGGGCTCTTTTCTGGAAATGGCCTGCATGGAAGGGGCATCATTTTCTGCAGGGAGGGGGACACGTTTCTAATTGGCATGAAGTCACTATGAGCCAGCAGATATCCTAGGGGTTTCCGTCTCTTTATTCTGGGCTCAAACTCAGCACTAGCGCTGTGGGACTGAACAATAGTGACCAAAGTATAACAACCAACTCCAAAGTCACTTCTTGCAGCAAACTCCCCTGGCCAACCATCCCACAAACGAACTAGCTCAAATGATGCTCACAGCACCCTCTGAGTGGTGGTGAGGGCGACTGGATCCACAGCAATACCCTGATTGGGCCTGGGAACCCCTTAAGGTATAGTGTAAGAAGGGTCTTGAAATCCATATTTCTGTCTTGCTTTGTTTGTTTTGGTTTTTTCGGACAGGGTCTCGCTGTGTAGTTCAGGCTTGCCTTGAACTCATTAAGAGTGGCTGGCTGTCCTCAAACTTGCAGCAATCCTCTGTCCTCAGCCTCCCAAGTGCTGCACTGATACACCTGGATCCTTCTGTCCTGCTTTGTGGCAATCACTGTTCCCTGCAAAAGCCACGTGACTGCTCTGTGACAGGAAGTGGGGAGAATTCTCTGAGCCTCTGATTATTGAAATGAGGGAGAAGTCACTGGGGACTACACGAAACAAGCCCTTAGCAGAGTCATTTAACAGCTGCAACCCTCACTGCTCTGCTTCCATTGGAAGTGGACTTGGGATAAGGCTCCAGTTGAGAATTTTCTGCCCTCAAGAAATGCATCACCAGAGCACAGCCTGGAATAAGACAAAAAAAAAAAAAAAAAAAAAAAAAAAAAAGGGCTGGGGCACCAGAAGAAACTCAGCAGAGCACTAAAAGAAAGAGGTGTTTCTATTGCCTATCTCTTAGTTGTGTCTGTCAAAAAGTTTTTACCTCAGAATCCCAGGTTTAAAAAAAAAAAATCCCAGGTTTACCTTTTAGTTTATTATAAACAAACACTACATGTCTAAGTTAACTGTGTGGTAATTGGAGTAGAGCTACATGGCAGAAGTTGTACTCATTTTTCACTGTTTCTTTTTGCTGGTGGTGTCTTAAAGATTTCTGTACTGGATAAGTCTAATCTGCATTTAGCAACTGAGATCCTGAGGCTCGTAATGGCTAAACTCAAGCAAGCAGCTTTCTTTACTGAGTGCTACTTTGGTTTATTTCTCTCTGGCTGGACGGACTTTCTCGTACCTTCCACATTCCAGTTTGTAGCCCTGGTTTCTTTCTTGTTGGCTCATGAGAACTGGTATTTAACCTCTACTCAAGGCCAGCAAAATCGCTAAGAAACAAACCTCTACTTAAACCTATTCTTCACTTAGTGACTGCTGGAGACAGAATAAAAAAGCAGGTCATTCTGTCCATGACCAGTCAGACTACTTTGCTGAAAGGTGGTTTTCTTTTTTGTCACAGGAGGTTGCATAACTCTGGAATTTTATGGCAAGTGTGGTCACACACAGAACTTTGATAATGAGTACACTGCCTTGCCCTGGCACAGTGTGAGCCTAGCTGATCCTTTTCTCCTCTATCAGTCAATTCACAAGTTTTAGGGAATGATTTCTCAGATGGGTCTTTGGTTACTCAACATCCCGTAAGCTTTCCATTAGTAGGTCATAGCCCTTCTCAGCAGCTCCTGGCATGTTACCCAGTCACAGACAGGAGAAGAGGGAAAGCTGACTCTAATCTGCTGGGAGACTTGATGATGTAAAAGTCTACAGCACTATGGGAAAGGGGATTTTCTTTCTTAATAACATAAAGATTTCAATTAATCCTTTCTTCTTGTTCCCACACTACCTTGAATGACATGGGTGGGCATGTGATTTATTTACAGTGAAACAGAACTGCAATAATAGAGTTCTTCTTTAAAAGATGAAAGAATAAAATAAATTTAGAGAAGATTGAATGCCAATACTCCTAAAACTCTTTAATGAAATTAAAAGGGAAACAGCACTTCCAAACTCATTCCTGGAAATAAGCATTACCCTGATACCAAAACCAGAGACATTGCTAACAAAAAAAAGAGAAATACAGGCCAAACTCCCTAATGAACATAGATGCAAAAATCCTCAATAAAATATGGGCAAGCAAAATGCGACAAATCATCAAAAAAAATTCTATACCATGACCAAGTAGGACTCAACCCAGGGATGAAGGGAGGATTCATATATGGGCATTAATACATGTAATATACCACATTAATAGACCCAAGAACAAAAACCACATGATCATCTCAAGAGATGCAAAGAAAGCATTTGACAAAGTATATTCATGATTAAAAACCCTACAGAAAAAATTGGAATAGAAGGTTTTTATGTCATTCTGGTAAAAGTGATCTATGAACTATTGATTAGCCTACATCATACTAAATGATCAAAAACTGAAGGCTTTTACTTTAAAATCAGGAAAAAGACAAAGATGTCCACTATCACCAATCCTATTCAATATAGTTCTGGAAACACTTGCCAGAGCAATTAGACAAGAGAAAGAAATAAAAGGAATAAGGATAGGGAAAAAAAAGAAGTTAAATTATCATTACTTGTAGATGACGTAATAATCTACATGGAAGATCCCAAAAACTCCACCAAAAGATTCCTAGATTTAATAACCAAATTCTGTAGCATAGCTAGATATAAGTCAACACTCAAAAATCAATATCATTCCTGTACACGAGTAACAAACTCACTGAGAGATAAATTGGGGAAATAATATCTTTCACAATAGCATCTAGAAAAATAAAATATTTAGAAATCAATCTAATGAAGGAAGTAAAAGACCTTTACTTTAAAAGCTACAGTACTCTAGGGCCAGAGGTTTGGCTCAGTGATTCTGCTGCCTGCTTCACAAGTGCAAGGTCCCAAGTTCGATCCCAGGTACAAAAAACAATACAAAATAAACAAATAAAAAAACCTACAGTACTCTAAAAAAGGAGATTGAAAAGGATATCAGGAAATGGCAATATATTCCTTGTTTTTATATAGTCAGAACCAATGTAGTAAAAATGGCCATATTTCCAAAACTGTTACATAGATTTAATGCAGTCTCAATCAAAATGCCAATAGCATACTTCATAAAACTAGAGAAAACAATTCTAAAATTCATTTGGAACCAGAAGAGACCTCAAAGAGCAATAGCAATTCTGAGTAACTAGGGCAAGCAAGAGTCACCACAATTCCCAACTTGAGGTTATACTACAAAACTACCATCATAAACCAGCACGGTACTTGAACAAAACAAAACAAAAATAGACCCATTGATCAAGGGACCAGAATAGATCAACTCCAAAGACACTCAACTACTTTATCTTTGACAAAGGGACCAAACACCTTCACTTGAAGAAAGATAGCCTCTTTAATAGATTGGGCTGGGAAAAATGGCTGAAGATTAAACCTAGACCCATACCTTTTACCATTCACTAAACTAAAATCAAAATGGATCACAGATCCAAATATTAAATCAGGAAAACTCTGCTGGAAGAT